CACTGTTTGGTTGCGATCAAACACTATGATGAGCTGCGGTTCATCGGTCGGTTGCGATCGACCCCTCCGTGTTGCGATACGGGGCAGGGTGCTGCGGGGCCGTGTCAGAGCTATATGCGCTGACCCTCATGTATGGGCATGCGATTGGTCCTGTGGCGCCAACAAAGTGTGCTATGTGATGAGATATGGATGAGTTGTGATTATGAGTATTTTGGGGATGTGACTATGGGATTTATATTAGGGATTGTTCGTGTTGGGTTATGATTATTGTTTATACTTTGCCTTAACTGCCTTATCTGTTGTGAACTGCATATGCTCGTTATGACTGTTGCTTGTGTCTGGCCTTATCTGTCGAGTCATTCCCGGTTTTAAAGCTAGAGTTCGTAGGATATATCTTCATGCTCAAAATGGTTTTCGTATATCTATATATATCTCTATATGTATTGTATTTCAACGCGTTGAAGTGGGTTACCAGCATCTCTCGCTGAACAGATATATTTGGCTTTCAGGCACAGAAGATTGAGTCACTGGAGTGCGCTAGAACTTAGAAGTAGATAGTTTCCCTTTTGGCCTGCGTGCCACGTTTACGTATTTACGCTTTGAGGATATTAGTTAGTTAGCCTGTGCACTTGGGTTCTCTAGCCCAGGTGTGGCATAGCACCCCGAACGCTTGTATTTATATCTTGGGATTTAATAAGATTCTACCTTTATTATAAGTTTTAAATGTCTTGAAAATCTGGGGTGTTACAGTGTTCGCACTAAAAATTTGGAGGCATTACTTGTACGGGGTGCAATGCAAGATTTACATGGACCATAAGAGCCTAAAGTACATCTTCACCCAAAAAGACCTAAACATGAGACAACGGAGGTGGTTAGAACTCATAAAGGATTACGACCTGGACATCCAATACCACGAGGGAAAAGCTAACGTGGTGGCAGATGCACTAAGCAGGAAGACTAACCACTCCCTCAACACCACTTGGGTCCTACCGGACCAACTGTACAGGGATTTCCAAAGACTGAATTTGGAAATAATAAAACAAGGTCAAAACCACCCCGGCACCCACATATTCAACACACGAGTCATGGCTACGCTCTTCGAAGAAATCAAAATAGGGCAACAGCAGGATCCGGAACTAGATAAAATCCGCCTCGACCTAACCCAGTGGAAGGAAGGACCCTTCAAAATACACGAAGACGGCAGTCTCCGTAACCAAGGTAGGTGGTGCGTGCCCTCGACGCACCCCCACTTGAAGCAACAAATCCTGGAGGAAGGACACAACACCCCATACTCGATTCACCCAGGGGGTGACAAACTATACCAAGATGTAAAAAGGTCGTTTTGGTGGCCCAACATGAAAAAGGAAATCGCGGATTTCGTGGCCAGGTGTCTGAATTGCCAAAGGGTGAAGGCCGAACGATGCAAGCCCAAGGGACTCGTACAACCCCTTGAGATACCACAAGGAAAGTGGGATTCCATATCCATGGATTTCGTCGGGGGACTACCCCCAACAAAGACCGGCAAGGATAAGATTTGGGTCATAGTGGACCGACTAACCAAAACAGCACGATTCATCGCCATGAAGGAAACGTGGACAATGACACAACTGGCCCAAGCTTACTTGAGCTGAGTAGTGAAGTATCACGGAGTCCCCCGAAACATCGTATCCGATAGGGACTCTAGGTTCCTCTCGCAATTCTGGAAATCACTGCAAATAGCCTTGGGTACACAACTAAAACTAAGCACTGCTTTCCACCCCACCACGGACGGCCAAACCGAGAGGACCATTCAGACCCTCGAAGACATGCTAAGAGCCTGCGTGTTGGACTTTCAAGGGACATGGGAGGAACACCTAGACCTCATTGAATTCTCGTACAACAACAGCTACCACGCGAGCATTCGCATGGCACCCTACGAAGCTCTATACGGACAAAAGTGCAGAACCCCCTTATGTTGGGAAGACATGGTCGACCCAATATCACTAGGGCCCCAACACCTACAGGACACAATCACCAAGGTCAAACACATCCGGGAAAGGATGAAAGCTGCCCAGGACCGCCAAAAGTCCTATGCCGACCTAAAGAGGAAACAAGCCAAGTTCAACACCGGGGACAAAGTCTGGTTAAGAATCTCGCCCACACGAGGGGTAATGAGATTCGGAAAGAAAGGAAAGCTCAGCCCTCGATTTATCGGCCCCTATGAGATCATAGAAAAAGTTGAGAACCTAGCCTATCGCCTCGCCCTACCCGTCGAACTAGAACGAGTACACAACGTATTCCACATATCCCAACTAAAGAAATACGTACACGACCCGAGTCACGTGCTTCAACCCGAGGTCGTGAACCTCGACGAGTCACTAGTATACGAAGAAAGACCCGTGAGGATCCTGGACACCAAGACAAGAAACACTCGTCGCCGAGCCATAGAAATGGTGAAAGTCCTCTGGACCAACCATGGGACCGAGGAAGCAACGTGGGAGCTCAAAGACACAATGAGGGAACTCTACCCCGAACTTTTCACACCAGGTAACTAAGAAAAAGTCACACGGCAAGGACCAAGCTTCGGGGACGAAGCTTCCTGATAAGGAGGGGAGAGTGTAACACCCCGTGTTACGACCCCTAAGATCAATTAAATCATTTAATCAATTACCCAAAAGAAAGAATTAAATCACAGTAATTAATTAGGAAGGCCCACCATAGTCCACGGGCCCTTACCCCTAAACCCAATCCTTAGTCCCAAAAGAAATAGAACTAGCAAGCCCATAATATTAGTTCCTAACTAGGACACCTAAATATACAAATAGGGGACTTAAGAGGCACCTAGAAACCCCCACAAGAATAACACCCCACCTCCCCGAAGAGCTCTAAGAATCCCCCTAGAAGAAATCAAGAAAGCAAGAAAACTTAAAGAAAGACCCTTCATAGCCAAGGAATAAATTAAGGCTAAGAGGTAACCCATGTCTCAACAAAACCTATTTTCATAGCTATGATTTCCCCCGTAGGATTTCCCCGTATTATTGTGTATTGGTGACTTGTGATATTATTATTGATGATTGATGGGATAATTCCATGGGTGATCTTGATATTGGGAGATTCTTGATAATTATGGTGTTCTTGATGATTATGTGGAGTTCTTAGTGATTATATGTCGTTCTTGATTATTGTACGGCATTCTTAATGCTTATGTGTTATTTGTACCGAATCTTGTAATTAGAAGACGAACCGTATTCTTGTTGATATAAAAGTGATTAGAACCCTAGGTTGTATCGTATGATCTTATTCTTGGTTTATCGGGTGGGGAAATCGCACGTTTGGGTGTTGATTATATTTAGAAAAGCATGATAGGTTATGTGCCGTTCGTTTCTTGTATTTGATTCGTTAATTGTCTACGTGTTGCCGTTAATTGCATTGTAAAGTGTCTAAGCATGGTTTCGGGTTCCACAACGGTTCCCGGGGCGTAAAGTGTGTGAAAAGAGTCAGTGGGGGGTAGGGGACCCGCCACCTACCCACGGCCGTGAAATACCGCCCGGCAGTGGGTGGCCGGCGGGCGGGCAGCTGCCCGCCGGCGACCCGCTGCCCGGAACAGTGAAGTCCGGCGGGCAGCCGGCGGGTGGCCCCCACCCACCGGCTACCCGCTGGAAATTATCCCACCTTGGGATCCCGGCTTCCCCGTTTGATGTTCCCCCGTTCCCCGTGGTGTCCCAACGGACTCCGTTTATCGTGCCTATGTCTAGTTTGATATTTCGGGTACCGTTCGTAGGTTATGGGTCTATTATATTGCATGCTAGTTGAATTGGTATCCCGTTGACCTAGGTGGAAGAAGCATGAACCCCTTAGGACTATTCTTAGTATGTGAGGGATCACGCATAGGTTTTGTTATACGTTTTCTCCCCTTCCCAACATGTTAATGTGGGTTGCATGTACTTGCTATATGTTATGTGTGTGTGTAACCCCGAGTTGGTTGAGATCAATCGGGCTATACGGGCAGTCGGATGGGCTGAGAACCATACCGGCTGTTAACCAGGCTGGTAGAGACCGGTCAGGTATATAAATATTATATAGGACTAAGTTCCACTATACGGGCAGTCGGATGGGCTGAGAACCATACCGGCTGTTAACCAGGCTGGTAGAGACCGGTCTAGTATATAAATATTATATAGGACAAAGGTCCACTATACGGGCAGTTGAATGGGCTGAGAACCATCTCAACTGTTAACCAGGCTGGTAAAGACCGGTCAGGTATATAAATATTATGTAGGACAAAGGTCCATCAGCCGGTTGCGATCGGCTCCTCCGTAATGTGAGACGGGGCAGGGTGCTGCGGGGCCGTGTCAGAGCTATATGCGCTGACCCTCGTGTATGGGCATGCGATTGGTCCTGTGGCGCCAACAAAGTGTGCTATTTGATGAGATATGGATGAGTTGTGTTTATGAGTATATTGGGGGATTTGACTATGGGATTTATGCTAGGGATTGTGTATGATGGGTTATGATTATTATACGTGATCAGCTTTATCTGTCTTGCCTGTTGTGGATTGTATACGCTTGATTATAACTGTTGCTTGTGTCTAGCCTTATCTGTCGAGTCATTCCCGGTTTTAAAAGCTAGAGACTCGTAGGATATATCTTCATGCTTCAAAATGGTTTTCGTATATCTATATAGATCTCTATATGTATTGTATTTCAACGCGTTGGAGTGGGTTACTAGCATCTCTCGCTGAACAGATATATTTGGCTTTCAGGCACAGAAGAATAAGTCACTGGAGCGCGCTAGAACTTGGAGCGTAGAAGTAGATAGTTTCCCTTCCGGCCTGCGTGCCATGTTTATGCATTTACATTACTAAGGATATTAGATAGTTAGCCTGTGCACCTGAGTTCTCTAGCTCAGGTGTGGCATAGCACCCCGCACTCTTGTATTATGTTTTGGGATTTAATGAGATTTCACCTTTATTTTATAAGTTTTAAGTATCTTGAAAATCTGGGGTGTTACAATTGGTGCTGGGAGTTTTGGCATAGTGTATAGAGGGATTCTTGAAGATGGAACAATTTTGGCCATAAAGGTATTTGATGTGCAACTGGAAGGTGCATTCCAAAGCTTTATTGTCGAATGCAAGATAATGTTCGACATTCGCCATCGAAATCTTGTTAAACTGTTAGGATATTGCTCCAACCCAAATTTCAAAGCCCTTGTTCTTGAGTACATGCCAAATGGGAACCTTGATGACTGGTTGTACACCCACAACCATTTCCTGGACATCATTGAAAGATTGAACATAATGATTGATGTTGCATATGCACTTGAATATCTTCATTATGGTTATCCAGAACCTGTGGTCCACTGTGATCTAAAACCAAGTAATATTCTCCTAGACGAGAACATGGTTGCTCATGTTGGTGATTTTGGAATCGCAAAGTTGTTGGGTAGTGATGATAGCATTGCATACACAAAGACCCTTGCTACATTGGGTTACATTGCACCAGGTGAAGATTTTTTTGTCCTTGTTTCTGGTTTCTTTAATTTTCTTATGCCTAATTTCATTTCCTTTAAATATTGACTACAGAGTATGGATCGGAAGGCATAGTGTCAACAAAATGCGACGTCTACAGTTATGGCATCTTATTGATGGAAACTTTCATGACTACAAAGCCTAGCGATGAGATTTTTTTTGAAAATCTGAGCCTAAAGGTTTGGGTTAAAAACTCAATGCCTAATAGAGTAATTGATATAATTGATGCAAATTTACTTGCCCCAGATGAAGAACCCTCGACTGAAAAAATAAAGTGTTTGTCATGTATCATGGAATTGGCCTTGAGGTGTTGTTTAGAATCTCCAGTAGAAAGAATATGCGTGAAGGAAGTGGCTGCAACTTTACAAAAGATTAAACGTCAACTTGCATGCTCTATATAGTTGTAAGTGATTATTGATTCTCAGTTACCTTTTAGCTTCATTATTTTTCAAATTTTTTTTATCTTTGGATGTTTATGTTTCATGTAAAATTTTTAGTATATCTTAAGTTTTATTAATTACACGTGTAAGGAAGTAGGATAACAACAACAACAACAACAACAACAACACAAAATTTCTTTGAAGACTGTGAGATTAGGGCTTTTTCATAAAATTACAATATATTTTTCTTAAATCTATGACATTTTTTCTTATAAGTAACTACAAATCAATTTATTGTAATAGGGGGGGGGGAAATCTTCATTAAGGATTAAACCCATGACCTTCCATTTGGAAAATTCACTTTATGTCACTAGACCACAAGGTCATTAACACATTATAAGTATATAATTCAAGAAGTAAAGGTGTTATTTTTCCCAAAAGTAAAAGTAACAAATAGCATGGCAAAGTGGCAAACATCACAATTCGACTAATGGAAAACAACTCAAAGTGAGTCATAGGCCACTAGGGATAATTGTAATATCAATTAGTTAGTTTAACAATCATATATGTTTTTTTCTATTTTTTCAATGTGAGTAATTTAAAGTACAACTTAAAATCTTGTTCTTTTTTTTTTCATTAATTTGCTTGGTTTGCTGCTTGCAACTCGGACTTCATCGCATGCGCAATGGCGGATGCATTCACCATAACAGAGTCAGACAGCCAGCTATAATATTAGTATTAGGACTATATTATTAGTATTAGACTAGAACTCTACTTCGTGTCTTTATATTGGTTTCCTGTATTCCCAGACATCATTATCGAATACAATACTTTCACATACATTCTAATCTAGTATCAGCTTCCAGGTTTTCTCCCATGGAAGGTCTCGATTTTCATGATGATGCCTCTGTCCAATCTTCTGAACAGACCGTTACTGTAACAACCCAGATTTTCAAGACATTTTAAGCTTATATAATAAAGGTAATATCTCATTACATCCCAAAGTATATCATAAGTGTACGGGGTGCTATGCCACACCTGGGCTAGAGAACCCAGGTGCACAGGCTGTCTAACTAATATCCATTGAAACACAATGCATAATATGGCACGCAGGCCGAAAGGGAAACTACTCTACTTCTACGCTCCAGTTCTAGCGCGCTCCAGTGCTCTAGTCCTTTGTGCCTGAAAGCCAAATATATCTGTTCAGCGAGAGATGCTGGTAACCCACTCCAACGCGTTGAAATACAATACATATAGATATACGAAAACCATTTTGAGCATGAAGATATATCCTACGAACACTAGCTTTAAAACCGGGAATGACTCGACAGATAAGGCTAGACACAAGCACAGTTATAACGAGCATATGCAGTTCACAACAGATAAGGCAAAGCATAAACAATGATCATAACCCAACATGAACAATCCCCAATATAAATCCCATAGTCACATCCCCCAAGACACTCGTAATCACAACTCGTCCAGGTCACAACACATAACACACTTTGTTGGCGCCACAGGACCAATCGCATGCCCATACATGAGGGTCAGCGCATATAGCTCTGACACGGCCCCGCAGCACCCTGCCCCGTATCGCAACACGGAGGGGCCGATCGCAACCGACCGATGAACCGCAGCTCATCATAGTGTTTGATCGCAACCAAACAGTGGACCGCAGCCCAAGAGAATGTCATCTGACCGCAGCCAGGAAAAAGGATGAACCGCAGCTCGTATAGAAACGTTTGATCGCAACCAAACGGTGGACCGCAGCCCAAGAGTATCAATCTGACCGCAGCCAGCTTCTGAACCGCAGCTTAGGATAACCAATCCGATCGCAACCGAATTGGGATAGCACACACATAACACATAGCAAGCACATGCAACCCACATTACACATTAGGAAGGGGGAGAAAAACGTATAACAAAACCTATGCGTGATCCATCACTTACTAAGAATAGTCCTAAGGGGTTCATACTTCTTCCACCTAGGTCAACGGGATACCAATTCAACTAGTATGCAATATAATAGACTCATAAACCTACGAACGGTTCCCGAAACATCAAACTAGACATAGGCACGATAAACGGAGTTCGTTGGGACACCACGGGCAACAGGGAACATCAAACGGGGAAGCCGGGGTCCCGGGTGGGACAATTTTCCAGCGGATAGCCGGTGGGTGGGGGTCACCCGCCGGCTGCCCGCCGGATTCTACTGTTCCAGGCAGCGGGTCGCCGGCGGGCAGCTGCCCGCCCGCCGGCCACCCGCTGCCGTGCGGTGTTTTATGGCCATGGGTAGGTGGCGGGTCCCCTACCCCCCACTAACTCTTTTCATCACTTTTCGCCCCGGGAACCGTTGTGGAACCCGAAACCATGCTCAGACACTTTTCAACGCAATTAACGACAACACATAGACAATTAACGAATCAAATACAAGAAACGAACGGCACATAACCTATCATGCTTTTCTAAATATAATCAACACCCAAACATGCGATTTCCCCACCCGATAATCCAAGAATAAGATTATACGATACAACCTAGGGTTCCAATCACTTTTATATCAACAAGAATATGGTTTGTCTTCTAATTGCAAGATTCGATAAGAATAACACATAAACATCAAGAGCATCACACAATTACCAAGAACGACACATAACCATCAAGAACTCCATATAATCATCAAGAATTCCATAATCATCAAGAATCTCCCAATATCAAGATTATCAAGATCTCTCATGGGATCATCACATCAAACATCAATAATAATCATCATATCTCGCCAATACACAATAATATGGGGGAAACCCTAAGGGGGAATCATAGCTATGAAAATAGGTTTTGTTGAGACATGGGTTACCTCTTAGCCTTAATTAATTCCTTGGCTATGAAGGATCTTTCTTTAAGCTTCCTTGCTTTCTTGATTTCTCCTAAGGGGATTCTTGGAGCTCTTTTGGGGTGGTGGGGCGTTATTTTTGTGGGAAGTTCTAGGTGCCTCCTAAGTCCCTTATTTATATATTTAGGAGTCCTAATTAGGGACTAATATTATAGGCTCGCTAATTCTATTCCTTTTGGAACTAAGGATTGGGTTTAGGGATTGGGTTTATATATGAGGGCCCATGGACTATGGTGGGCCTTTTTCCCTAATTAATCATTATGATTTATTCTTTCTCTTGGGCTATTGATTAATTAATTAAATGGTTTTAGGGGCCGTAACACGGGGTGTTACACTCTCCCCCCCTTACAAGGGGCTTCGTCCCCGAAGCCTGGTGTTATAGTCCATCCTTTCACCCCTAGACACCTCGTAGCTCGGCCTCCTGATTAGGGTTGCGGCCTTACGTTTGTCGTGGCTTGGGGTAGGCTGAACTTTTGATGGTGTTGTGATAGAGAATTTTTTGGTTGTACCTCTGTTTCCTGCGCTGGAACTGGATGCACCTCGAGTGCCCAAGGTGGCCTCGATCGCTGCTACCCTTTGATCGAGTGCGCGTGTGGTGCGAATCAAGGATGAGAACCCTTCTTCCATGATTTGATTCTGCCAGTCGAGCTGAGCGAGTATGCGTTCGTTGACCGAACCCTCGGGTTCCCTCCTGGCTGTGGGTGCACTGACGGGTTAGGCCCGTCTTCCTCCTCTTGTCCCTCATTTCCCTCCGTACCTCCGCAATCTTGCAAGGCTCGCTTGAGCTTTTTGTTGGAGATGTCTAATCGATCAACCAATTCCCTACGTTCCTCCTCGGGTTTTTGGCAAATTTCTTCGAGGGTGAGATAGTGTCCTCCCTCGGTGTAGTAGATGTCGTTGCGGCGAAGGTTTTGGGCATTGAAAACCATGCCGTTGGCGGTTTTGACCTCGGTGTGGCTTAGGTCTACCCCCTTTTTCTCCATGATCCAACTTCGGATCATCCCGTAGGGTAGGCTAAGCCGGTTGTTTGTCTTGCAGAACTCTATGTGCTTTAGCATGAGTGCCGGCAGGTTGAACTTGATTTTATGTTTTAGGAGATACGCAAAGGTGCACTCCAAGCTCCCCACATCCTTGCTCTTGTTATTGGTGGGCAAGAGGCTATCGGTTACAATCATAACCAATATATTTTGCTCCGCCGATAGCCACTTTCGATTTGGTCGAGTGGCCGAGGTGAACCCGTCCTCTTTCCCGAGTAAGTACCCAAGATAGTCCTTGTATCCCGTAGTTTGGGTATCAATCCACCCCTTTCGGTCATAGTCAGACACACCCGTGGTGGTCAATTTCAAGAGCTTGGCCAACCGGCCTTCGGAAAGCACAATTTCCTTGCCACGGACCTTGGTGGTAATTTCTACTTTGTCACCCCGTTTGGTGGCCACAAGGTGTTGGTAGAATTCTTTCACCAATTCGGGGTATGTGTCCCCTTTGATGGCGAGGTAAGTATCTAAAAGCCCTTGGTGTTTGAGCATGTCAACCAATTCCGGAGAGAATTGGTCGGGTTCAAGTGCTTTACCTCCGATTACGGTGTAATCGGCGTTGCTCCACTCCGGGGTGCGGATTCCGAGGGGCTTTTTCGGCATCTTAAATTTTTCTTTTGGCGGTGAGGAATTCCGGTAGAAATTCCGGCAGCTTTCCGGCGGGTCTCCGGCGAAGTTTCCGGCGGCCTCTTTTCCGGCGGTGGTTCGAGCCGCTACAAGGTGGCGATGGTGGGGCGGAGCTCAGCAATTTTCCGGCGGGGCGGTGGAGGCCTACGGTCGCGTGGGCGTTGGTGGCAGCGGGCGAAGCTTGGGTGGATGGCGGGCGGCGTCGCTCGGGTAAGGAGGCAGCGGGTCCCCGCTGGGTGCTCTCCGGGCGGTGGGCGAGGTCGGTTGGGACGGCGGCGCGGCGGTGTGGCGCTTAGCGGTGGCGTTCGGCCGGCGACGGTGGTGCGTGGTCGTCGGTTCTGCTGGGGTGGGGCGGCGAGGTGTGTGAGGTGGGGAAGGGAAAGAGTGGGGAAGAAGAAGGGGAGGAAGAAGAAGAAGGGTTTTTGATTTGGGGGTTTTGTGGGTTTTAGGGACTTGGAGGGATTTAACAAGGGGTTATCCCCTTAAGGTTTCAAGAAACACTCATGGCTTAGTGGTTA